TACACTGTGCTGCTCGTAGTTGGTGGGTACACTGCAGAGAGAGGGAAAGGCCATCGCGATTAAATAACCGCAATAACGAGCCTACGAATGGACGGCCGTGCCTTTGTGTCCATCTCTGTAATGACGTTAAACGTGTAATCAATGCTCTCCCCGGGGATGGGTGGGACTACTCGTTTTTGGCTAATAATCAATCGACCGACCCACCGAACGAGACGCACCGTCGTCGCGCGTATCCAGGGGTGAGTTTGTTTTTTGACTCGTTACAAGCTACTTTTGGTTTTTTTGTGTGACTCGTGAATTGGATTTTTGAGTTTATTTTTCCATCTAGGTAAATATGGTCGAGGATGATATTTAGGTCAGTATAGCGGATGTGAAGTAAAAAGTGACGAGGAAAAACTTTTATTCAATTTCAATGAGCACTTCCATCTCAATGGCAATGCTTTAGCGTATTAAACTCTTAATTTTATTCATTCGATCGCTAATGAAAGGTCTCACCGGCATCCAATAAATATTTAGATATGACCAAAATGTAGCTTATGTTTTTAGCGTATTATTCGTCAATTTTTATCGATATCTTGTTGGTAAGTCTTTTGAAACCTGAATTAAACCACCATGTTCCACAAAATTATGCGTTAAACTGATGAGTAGTGAAATTCCCATGATTTTCTGTGATTTTCTTCTTACGCACCTATAAGGTCCCCAAAAACTTCACTAGATGATTTTTGGGTTCTTGCGATCTATACGTTTAATTTTTTCAAAGTTTTGTAAGCCAATCGGCACGTGACAGTACTTACTTTGAGTAATGAAAAACATGGATGCATTGACCTAGAAGCGGACGTGAAAAAGCCTCGGTGTTTCGATAACGCGTCGACAAACCTACGGACGCACGCGCAACATGTAAAAAAGCATAACGTGTGTAGGTATGGCCAAAGGGGGGCCTCATGACTCATTGATTGAGGTCCGGCGTCGACCACATATATTATACCCATGCCAATATCTCCCGGAGGGAGAGTAAACTGTGCAGGGCCTGAATTGTCGTTCCCCCCCTACGTTATCACGCCCAATAGCTCGGATGGGCTACCCTACCTGTGTCGGTTTCAAGGGAAGTTTTTTTTTGTCCACGTACATTTTACCGTATTGCATCGATGTCGACGCGATAACTGTAATTGATGTGACGATTCTGTGGCTGGGGATAATGCAAATTGTTGCTGTGGGTACAAGTGAACGAGCGCAGTTTTCCAAATTCTCTCTTCTTACGACGAAGGTGACGATCCAAGACTGCAGAGGCGTGGGAGGAGGTGAAGCCGGTGGGTGTTGTAATTGCCATGCGGCTAATCTAATAACACCTGCTCGAGCTACGCTACTCGTCGTCGTTGTTATCTCGCGGGCAATTAGCACCGTTGCTACGTAGGGTACCTCTCGTTGACAGCGGAGCAGTCGAAGCTAACGTCGTTGTTGTTGCTGCTGTTGACGACGATGACGAGGAAGGTGAGGGAGAGAGAGAGAAGCGCCGTATGCGATAAGGGCTGTGAATAACCCTCCAGCGCTTTTGGACGAATTGTTGTACCCCTGCCTTTTCCCTTATGCACTATGGGTTTTGGAGACGAATTGAGGACGAGCTGGTGGTATACGAGAGAGTTTATTTTTCTTACATGCGTGTAGCTTGTTTGGTTGGGTTCAGCGAAATGTGGTGCGAGATCGAGTCATATACATCTACCGCCTCCATGTTGACACTTACAAAGACGAAGTTAAAAACCTTATTTAGAAAAAGGAATTTCAGTATTTTCGATGTCAAACTAACGCGCTATGTGTAGAAGAAAATTAGTATTTATAAACAATAGTTTTTTTTCTTTTTTAAGGATTCACCATCAAAAGTGTGTTACAAACAGAGTTTGATTTTTCTTTCTTAATATTTTTCTATTATTATTATTAGTATTGTTATTATTATCATTATTATTATTATTATTATTATTATTTCGTTCTATGGTTGGTTAGGGGCAAATCACTTGGTTTGTTTGATGGGGTTGTTTAAACATCAAACGAGTCAAATTGTAACAATAAGACATAAAAATAATTTAAAGTAAGGATATTTGGTTTGATTCACCCTTTTAAAAGAAAAAATATAAGGCACTATGATACATTGGTCATGTCTAACAACTACATGAAAAATTGTATTTGATACAGAGTTTATACAAAATCTGATTGTATAAATTATGTATGAAATGTATAATTCTGTTTAGTAATTTTTTTACGACTCTGACGTACGATCCATTATTTTTGTTTAAAAAAATACTTGATATTTAATTTATTTACTTTATTTTTAAAAATTGGTGACTACACGTTAAGATTGCATAGGTAAGATATATAAAAGGGAAGCAAAAATTAAGTTCTCTTTGAGCAGTGCACAATTGGAATGATGTGAAAAATGTTAAAATGTTACCTAAATAATTATCAAAGGAGCTACTACTGTCAACACATCTATAAAATAAAATAATAAACAAGCATCTACAGCTGGCTGATATCCAAAATTCCATCCCCTGTCAAAGGTAATAACAACCATACCACTTCAAGCTCCTTATTCACGCGCTCGTTCCCACCTTTTTCCCCCCTCCTCTAACAAATAACGTCTCGAATAATCACACTAAACCGTACGACCCAAAGTTTCGAAACTCGCAACGAGATAAGAGCCCGCAAGAACAAAAAACAAAAAAAAAAGGAGTGAGAAGCCGCAGTAACATCGCGAAAAGGAGGTGGAGGAGGAAAAGGGGAAATTTTCCAATAACGAAGTTTAAAAAGTTCGTCGCTACGTGACCGCGATACCCTTAAATCTCTCGCGCCTAATTTATGCATGAGAACGGCAAACATATATATACGTATACACGTCGCCTCCTGGAGGAAGAAAATTCACGGGTATGAACTTGGCTGGCGTGACATTAAACGTCACCTAGACGAAACTGTCTTCTTTCCACGTACGTGTGCGTATAAGTACACACGCACATATACAAATTCACGCGCGAACGAGGAAATAACGCCGGAGTTCAAATCCTCGTGAAAGTATTTATATATATGTGTGTGTGTGTAAAAGACCTCGCTTACTCTTCATTTTGCGCCCCCAAGGCTATCAGGAATCTTGGCGATTTATCACAATTTTCCACCCAAGCGCTCCGATCATCCCGAGCAATTAGAAAACGACGAGGCTGCTTTTTGTAATAGAAATTGATTTCGACGAGACTTCCTCGCAGCTGCGCTTCAATTCTCTACGTATTATATACTTACGATTCTCAGAGTCGCTTGATTTATGATGTTGATGCTGATAGCCCGGGCGTTTGAGCTTTTCATCCTATTAAAACGCGTTTGTGAGAAAATTAATTTTGGGAATAGAGATCCTTCGGTTTGATATGTACCATCTTGCCCCACTTTTTTATTTTTAAAACAACTTGAAGTACGGGTGGGAAAAAATTTTTATTCGTTCAATGTTTTGTTGATTTTTAGATAATTTTAAAATTACATTTATCTGTTTCTGAACTCTATATATAAATGTACGTGTTGTGCGCTTGGGTTACGGGCTAAAGTCAAGGGGCTTAGACGATGGAAATCGAGATATCACTTATTTACTGCCTGCGGGCTTTTGGAGCTTTTTAAACTTGATAAGAGAAATGGAAGCTTTTGAATTATTGAGGAACCAAAGAAAAAAAAAAAAAAGGTTTGAGATCCAAGGAGCTCCCCGTGAGTTTGGAGCAAAGGATTCTCTGTGATGTGATAAAAAAAATCTGCGTAGGTATGCTACTGACGTTTGAGCTGTTGTGTATCGAATCTTTCTGGAATGCGAATTTGTGGATGAAAAATTCATCGCATTGCTTGACTCTTCGATGGAGCTTGGAGTTCTTGCAAGTTTAAAAGAAAATGTACTTAAAAATCGTCAGAAGTTGTATAGCAAAAGACATCGAAATTCCAGGTTTAAAAAATTGACACTTACTCGTTACTCAAATCTGAAAAATTCTAAAGTCACGTGAGAACTTGGAGACTTTGAAAGACATTAAAAGACTTAAGTCATTAAATATTTTTGATATTTTTAAATAACATTACATGGCTTCCTGGGTCTTATTGTAACTTTTAACAATTTTTAAGTATTTTATAGTCCACTGCAAAATATTTTTGAAGTACTTCAAAGTAATTTCATAACTTCTAATGACTTCCGAAACTTTCAACGACTTTCATAGATCAGAGTAAACATATAAAAAAATATATATTTTCCAGAATGTCGTAAATTCCCTTGAAATTTTTCAACATTTTTTTATGGTTATTCTTTTAAGATGATGAATGGCAATGTTTTCCAAAAACTTTGGTCATCAGACAACTTTGCAAAGTTAAAAGTCTTTTGTAGGTCTTTGTGACTCTAAAAATTTTCAAAATTTTTTTACAATATCTTTGCTCATAATAAGATACCTATTTAATATGTATGTACT